ACGCTGTTCAAACTATTGAACGAAATTGTGTGGACTGTCGATAAGGCGGGCATTTTTAATTTTAAATATAAATTATAAGTTAAAAAAGAACATAAGAGGCAGAGAAAACGTAAACATAAGTATTGAACTGTTTTTGTATGGTATTTATGATCTATTTGAATGATACAGCTAGCGCGCATTATGTTGTTTGCTTGCAAAGCTGTGTCATTCAAATAGATAATAAATACCATACAAAAACAGTTCAATGCTTAAATATATGATTGTTTGAAAGTCTTATAAACTATTCTGTAATTGGTTGTCGAAGGTCAAAGTCTCTGTTGCTAGAAGTAGTATTTACTTGTCCAGATTCTTTCAAATCAATATTTATGCAAAGTTCAGTCATGATATTTTGGTTGAACCTAGGAAAATGAAAGACTTCTTTGAGATTGGGGCATCATAAGTAAAGGACATTGTTACTGACAAAGGAACTTCACATAACCCATGACTTGTCTGTTAATGTTCACTGCCGTATTTTGTCAGAAAAAATTGTTAGAATTGTCCAGAGCCTAACATTGAGCTAACAAGATCCAATTATAAATGTGATAAAAAACATTTCGCAAGTACATGTATCAACAATAAATATTAGCGGGGGCAATATTCTGCCCTGAAGAGTTGTGTGTGATATAAAGATGCAATTTGAGCTTTACCACATTGTCAGGTGAAAAGGAACAGCCTACAGATGATGGCGTCTGTAGAGAAGGTTGTGGACATTCTCACAGAGACAATTGAGTCGGCTAATGAAGCTGTGATCATCCAGACACCGGTTATGTCTGTCAGAGTCCAGGAAATAGACAACATGACAGAAACAAACCTCACCCTCAGTGTGCTGTCAGATAACTCCAGCATCAGTCTCCTACTGCCTCCTACTCAAACTCTCAGACAATCAGTTCCAGGGGCAGAGAACTCTTTTGTTTATACACAGGTGAGGCCAATTCATTTCAATGAAGTCAGGTGTGTTAAAATGAAATGTACGAAATTCTCAAGGTTTAATGTGAGAGAAGTCATGAAAAATCGAGGCATAGCTTAGTTGCTCATGAGGATGTCTAATTTATTGCCAAATTCAAAATAATCTTAGTTTTAACTGCTATATTTTTATGCCATACCGTGGCGTCCATCGTCCGTCCGTCGTCCGTCCGTCCGTACGTACGTCAACAATTTCTTTAAATGACTTCTTCTTAACCACTCGTTGGAATTAAACTAAATTTGACTGGAAGCATCCCTAGGTGGTGGGGATTCAAAATTGTACAAATGGGGGGGCTGAGGGGCGGGGCCAAAAGGGGTCAATTTGCCCATATTGCTTTAGGCGTCTTCTTCTCTGAAACTAAGAAGTGGATATCAACCATATTTGACTGGAAGCATCCCTAGGTGGTGGTGATTAAAAATTGTACAAATGGTGGGGTTGACTCCCCAGGGGGCTTAGGGGCGGGGCCAAAAGGGGGCCATTTGGCTATATTGCTACAAACGACTTCTTCTGTAGAACTGTGCACTGGATATCAATCATATTTGATCAAAAGCATTCCTGGGAGGCAGGGATTTAAAATTGTACAAATGGTGTGGCTGACCCCCCAGGGGGCTGAGGGGCAGGGCCAAAAAGGGTATTTGGCTATACTGCTTTAAGTGACTTCTTCTCTGGAACTAAGTGATGGATATCAACCTTATTTGACTGGAAGCATCTCTAGGTGGTGGAGATTCAAAATTGTACAAACGGTTGGGCTGACCCCCCAGGGGGCTGAGGGGCGGGGCCAAAAGGGGGCAATTTGGTTATATTGCTATAAATGACTTCTTCTGCAGAACTATGCCATGGATATTGATCATATTTGGTCGGAAGTATTCATGGGAGGCAGGGATTCAAAATTGTACAAATGGTGGGGCTGACCCCCCGGGCTAAGGGGTGGGGCCAATAAAATGTATTACTTGGAAATGGTTGAGATCCCCACCATATAACCATATATACAATTGCTGAGTATAAAGAGAAGAATGCACATTTGCTTCCAGGATGTCCCTAGGGTCTGGCCCCACCCTTGGAGACATAGTCCCTGGGCCATAACTTTAAAACGGTTGAGATCCCCACCCCAAAACTATATATACAAATGCTGGGCATAAAGAGACGAATGCAATCATGATATCAGAATAGACCCTGGGGTCTGACCGAACCCCTAGGGACCTAGTTTCTTAGTCACAGCTTGGAAACAGTTGAGAGCCCCACCCTATAACCGTATATATACAATTGCTGAGTATAAAGAGATGATTGCACATATGCTTCCAGGTTGGCCTTGGGGACTGCCCCACCCTTGGAGACTTAACCCCTGGGTCATAACTTTGAAATGGTTAATATCCCCACCCCAAAACTATATATACAATTGTTGGGCATAAAGAGACGAATGCAGTCATGACATTAGAATTGATCCCAGGGTCTGCCCCACCCTTGCAGACTTGGCCCCTGGGTCATAACTTTGAAACGGTTGAGATCCCCACCCCAAAACTATATATACAAATGCTTGGCAAAAAGAGACAAATGCAGTCACGATATTAGAATCAATCCTGGGGTCTGGCCACAACTCTAGGGACCTAGTTTCTGAGTCAAAGCTTGGAAACAGTTGAGATCCCCACCCCATAACCATACATAAAATTGCTGGGCATGAAAAATCTAATATAGCTATGCTACAAGGATTGGCCTTGGGGTCTGGCATATTCCCTTGATCTCATTTGGAGAATAGTTTGCCATGATTGCTTAGGTATCCAGGTGAGCGATACAGGCCCTCTGGGCCTCTTGTTTATATATCTTCAAGTAGATCAACCATTAACAATCATTTAAATTCTTCGGTTTGCAAGTGTTGGGTTGGAATCTGTTACTGTCAAACACACAAGTATAAATCATCAAAAATGACATTGACATATAGCTGTATGCCATATTGCATTTTTCGGTTGGTAAATTAAGATTTTAAAGCTTTTGTATAGGAGTTTTAAGTGTATGTTTAAATTTGTTGATTTGTGATGTTCATCTGTCCAAGTGTTTCATAACAACTGACAAGTACATGATTCTTGCCTCATAATTACCACTGACATTAGATCTCTGTATACCATTGTCTAAGGGTTGCTGCATCCGTTTTTAATGTAATAAATGTGGTGACATTTGTTGATTGGTCTTTATGTGAGGTGTCAGCTTTTAGTTGGCAGTTATGATATCTACTATCAGGAAAACTAGTATGTTATGTACAAAGGATATATAGTGTTCTAAAAGCACCACAGTAATACGTACTGTATGCCATGGAGAGCCGGAGACAGGTATCTTGGCAGCAGTCAGTGTCTAACATAGTGTGATATAGAACAATTAATTCTGTTTGGAGTCAGATTGTAGTAACCAAGGACAACATGTATAACTGGGACCAGACTGCAGAAAGATTTACCTCCTCTGTGGTGGACGTCGTTGTCAAGGACGCACAACTCCAGACAAAGACACTCACCAACATGTCCGATCCTGTCACGCTCCAATTCCAAGTGGAAGGTTGGCTTTATTTCACAAAACTATCAGTTTCATGCTTTTTATATGCCCGTCAAATTTGACAGGAGTATTATGGTATGGCGTTGTCCGGCCGGCGTAAACTTTTTTATTTGTCCGGCAATTTCCTCCTACATTTTTCGACTGATCTCTTTGAAACTTGGTATACATTATAATCATGATATGAAGTTGTGTCTCCCTTAAAAGTATTTTGATTCAACAATTTTTGCAAAAGTAATTGCCCTTTGTTCATTTCAGTATTTGATTTTTGTCCGGCAACCTCCTCCTACATTTTTCAACAGATTTCTTTGAAACTTAATTTGGTATACATTATAATCATGATATGAATTTTTATCCGGAGATTTTCTCCTACATTTTTAGCTCACCTGCCCGAAGGGCAAGTGATGAGCTTATGCCGTACCGTGGCGTCCGGCGTCAACTTTTCCCTTTAAAAGCCTTTATCTCCTGAACGACTGATTGGATTTTAACTAAATTTGATATGAAGCATCCTTGGGACCAGGGGCTCAATGGATTTATGAAATAAGGGTGTGGCCCCCTAGGGGGTTAGTTAGGGGCCAAAAAGGGGAAATTTAGAAAAAAATAAAAAATCTTCTTTTCCATTTCCAGAAATGCTAAAACCAAATACTACTCATAGTTGTAAAGGCCTTTGGGTGGTTAAAAATTGTGATTTTCATGTCTCCTTGTTAGGGGAGGGAGGTCTGCTGGTAAAATATTTATGAATCTGACCCCCTAGGGCAAAATGGGGAGAAATTTGGGAAAATTTTAAAAATCTTCTTCTCTAGTTACAAAAATGCCAGGATCAAATACTACCCATCGCTGTAAAAGCGTTTGGGTGTTTTATAAAAATTGTGATTTTCATGTCTACCATGCAGGCCCCCCGTTTGCCCCTGGTGAGGGGGTGAAATTTAGTGTAGTTTATATAGGAAATATACATAATAGGCAATATCTTGCAATGTTTTGAACAGAGATTGCTCATATTTGACAGAATTATTTGTTAGGGGAGGAAGGTCTGCTGGAAAAATTTGTGTGACCCTGACCCCCTAGGGGGCTGGGTTTTGGGGTGAAAAAGGAGGCGAATTTCAAAGATTTTCTTCTGCAGTTCCAGAAATGTTGGTATCAAATACTACTCATAGTTGTAAAGGCCTTCAAGTGGTTTATATACTTTGCGATTTTCATGTGCCCCAGGTTCCTCGTTTGCCTTTGGGGAGGGGGTAAAGTTTGGTATTGTTTATATAGACAATTCGACAAATGAACAGCAATCACATACGTTTTATCTCCAACCCAACTAATGTGCTAGTAATAGTAACAACCTTAATTCTTTATGAATTATAAAGTCTCCATAGTAACGCTTCCAAGTTCTTACCCTACATGTCTGAAGTGGTTACAAATTGGCATTACAGAGCAAATGTAAATATTGTGCCATGATTGCTTAAATAACCAGGTATAACCTTGTTATAGCATGTCAGCTAACCACTCTTTGAATGATGCAGGTCTTATTACAATGTAAGAAAGCATTAGCACTAGATGGCATTCGACTGGCGTATATTGTTCCGCCCCGCGATACTCTTGTTACAGTATAAGCCTGCTTTAGCCTGTCATTTTGTCCATCTGTCCATTCTTCTATCCTCTTTCTACGATGATTTGGTTTATTAGTTATATTAATTCTTCTGACATCTATAAACCTTTATAAATTAGGTCACCTTATTATAGTATACAATCAGTATGTCTCAGATGACCTGCTATTATATTGTCGTTGTCTGTTCTTGTTGGATGTATACAAAATTGAGGTCTTGCTCTGTACATCATCTGTAACTTTGGTTGTGAGAGAGAAAATGTTAACATTCAAATCACATTTGCCATATGCATTAGCTTAGATCCAAATAATGCAGCCTTGTAAGTTTATTTGTCCTTTTTACTGAAGTTGTTAACAGTGGCTTATTGCTCACTAAAACCAGTATCATAAAGATATATTGAGAGGTATTCTGATTACTAAAACCCGCATTATAAAGATATATGGAGAGGGATTCTGGTAACTAAAACCAGTATCATAAAGATATATTGAGAGGTATTCTGATAACTAAAACCAGTATCATAAAGATATATTGAGAGGTATTCTGATTACTAAAACCAGCATTATAAAGATATATGGAGACGTCTTCTGATAACTAAAACCTGTATCATAATGATATATGGAGAGGGATTCTGGTAACTAAAACCAGTATCATCAAGATATATGGAGAGGTATTCTGATAACTAAAACCAGTATCATAATGATATATGGAGAGGTATTCTGATAACTAAAACTACATGCAGTGTTTACAATTATTATCCTCCGCTTTCACCGAAACAGGGGATATTAATTTGGGTCTGTCTGTCTGTCACGATTCGTTTCCGTGCAATAACTACAACAAATATTAACTGATTTTCTTCAAACTTAGTCACAGGGTTAAATGTCTTAAGGGCTCGGCAAAGTCCTCTGACCATCACTAGATTTGGTGGAGTTATGGCCCCTTGAATAACGAAAAACATTATTATCTTTCGTTTCTGTTCATTAACTCTCGCAAATATTATCCAAATGTAGATATTGTTCAGATATTTCAACCAAATTCTGTATGCACATCCGCCTCATGCTAAGTTTTTATGGATAATCAATGAGGTAAAGGGCTTTTTTTTTCTTCAAGTTTCAAGCTTTACATTTTGTCTCAACAGCACGATACTCCCATGTTTAAACCTAACCTCAATCATGTTAACTGACAATATGTCCTGCATGCGGGGGATATGAATTCCACGAATTTGCTTGTTATACCTATAACTTGTTTGTCAAATTATATGTAAGTTAAATTAGAATGGAACATTATTATCGTAAATAATCTTTGAATCACAGTATTTTATAAGTGCCTTTATCTCTAAACCTTGCTGAGATATAATGGTTTATTTAACATTCTTCCTACTTCTCCTTTCCTTGCTCAAGTCTATGTCTACAGATTAACTTTTCTCCAAAATATTGCAAACTTATCGCTGTAAAGTTAAAGTATCAGGTAAACAGAGCTGGATCAGTGTTGTGTTATATTTGTACGGCATGAGTAGATAGTGTATAAGCTTTCAGTATTGCTAGACACATAATTGTACGTACACACAGGTGGATCTTGTTTTTGTTGTCAGTTTTCCTTACTGGGTTTTTATCAAACTTCTTCCAATAGTCAAGAACTTTTTACTCATTCACACCTGAAATTTTATAATGAGCTATTCCAACCTTAGAATTGGAGGAGTTCAAATGTGTCTTTAGAGTTGAATTAGTTAATGCCTTTGTGTTAAGATAAAATCTATTTTTAAATCAAATGAATTTTTAAACTATGAGGCTGATGCATTCTGATTGCTGATTGCTGTCTGTGTGATATCTTCTGAAGGGATAATCTTATTTTGATCAAACTTACTTGGAATATTTCACTATGCAACAATTGATAATATATATAATGATATACCAATATCACAGAGTCAAATGGCATCTGTGTTGATTTAAGGGTATTTAGGTCAACATAAAAATGTTAATTCATTAGCTCAGCTGGTCCAAAGGACCAAGGTAAGCTTATGCGTACGTCAACAATTTCTTCAAACGATTTCTTCTTCTTAACCACTGTTTGGAATTTAACTAAATTTGACTGGAAGCATCCTTAGGTGGTGGGGATTCAAAATTGTACAAATGGTAGGGTTAACCCCCCCCAGGGGACTGAGTAGCTGGGCCAAAATATTTGGTCAGAAGCATTCATGGGGGGCGGGGATTTAAAATTGTACAAATGGGGNGAGGGGCGGGACCAAAAAGGGTTATTTGGCTATATTGCTGCAAGCGACTTCTTCTCTACAACCAAAAGATGGACATCAACCATATTTGACTGGAAGCATCCCTAGGTAGTGGGGATTCAAAATTGTACAAATGGTGGGGCTGAGGGGCCAATTTGGCTATATTGCTTTAAGCGACTTCTCCTCTGGAACTAAAAGATTTCAAACCGTATTTGACTGGATGCATCCCTAGGTACATTGAAGTGGGGATTCAAAAATGAGCAAAAAAATTAGATATATAACATTTGATATAGCACCCTATCTAGCTAACATAAGCCACTCTTAAGCGCTTTACAGTACATAGATATACAGTTTTATACAGTCAATACAATTAGCATATATATTAATCAATACAATATTGATGAATTCGCAGGAGCTGCCTAATCAGGCGGTAACCACTAGTCCCATGCCACTTGGCTAATATCTCCCTATGTGTGTGTGCTGGAGATGTATTGTGTTCTGTTTGTAGTGGGACTGTGCTTCCAACTGTATCATTTATAGTGCCACCACACTTGAATGCTACAGCACAGATACCACAACACCAACCCCAGACCATTTTATACTTCACCTGGGTTGTTGGAGTTGTGTGGGCAGGAGAACAACACTTTCTCTGAATATTCCATGCGTACGGCGACTTCAGAGATCGAACCCCGGCCGCCTGCTTGGAAGGCCGGACTGTTAACCAATCAACCAATCCGCCCATTAACAAATGGTGGGGCTGACTCCCCAGGGGGCTTAGGGGCATGGCCAAAAGGGGGAAATTCGGCTATATTGCTAGGAATGACTTATTCTGGATATCAATCATATTTGGTTGGAAGCATTCATTTGAGGCAGGGATTCAAATTGTACAAGTAGTGGGGCTGACCCCCTTGGCTAAAGGGTGGGGCAAAAAATAGTTTATTGCTTGTAAGTGGTTGAGATACCCACCCTATTACCATATATACAATTGCTGAGTATGAAGAGAAGAATGCATATATGCTTCCAGGATTTCCTAGGGGTCTGGCCCAACCCTTGGAGACATAGTCCCTGGATCATAACTTTGAAACGGTTGAGATCCCCACCCCAAAACTGTATATACAAATGCTGGGCATAATTTAAAGAGATGAATGCAGTCATGATACAAGAATTGACCCCAGGGTCTGCCCCAC